GAAAGGGGTCATAGGTCATACTCGTTGGGTAGTTTTTCGAAATAACTTTTGATGTCGAGTATCATGAACTATAAAGTTCTTCGAAAAGTCTTTCGGTTCAAAAGGCGGTAACGGAAAAATAATAATAATAACTAGTAGACTAATTGTTCTCGAACAATTAGAGGTCTTTCCACCTTCTTTAAATTTCATATATTCTTCACATTTAACTCTCTACTGTTTATTTTTATACAGGAGAAACCAGAGATAGCTTGAGAGATGGAAAATATTAAAATTTTAGAAATTTGGAAATGACCTTGACCTTTGACCTTGAACAAATATTCAAGGTCAAAGGTCAAGGGTCACATTGCACTTAACCCCATCCTTCTACGACTTTTAGTTTTAAAGTTATAAGGTTTAATAGTAAGCGCAGAGACGTTAAAGGGCAATAACTCATAAGGGGTCAGCAGATCCTTTTGCACTAATAGACTGAAGTTGTGACTAAAGACCCTGAAGACATTAGTGAAGGTTTCGTGTCTCTGCGATTTACGGTTTAGGAGAAGTAGCGATAACAAGGTTTTTCGCACAAGGGGCAATAACTTTCAAAGGGGTTAAGCTTAGGGGACAAGAATGAAATCTTTGAGATAGATTTAAGAGTACATATTAATGATGCAAAGACCAATAGTATATATTGAAAGACAAAAGAGCTGTAAAAAGAGCTTAATTTCTCATTTTTGGAATGACCTTGACCTTTGACCTTTACATATATTTTTAGGTCAAAGGTCAATGAATCTTATGCAGTTGGTCCCATGTCTCTACGACTTATCGTTTTGAAAATTTTTCATTATTCATAAATATCAAAGACTTTCAGGGGCAATAACTCATAAAAGGGGTGCACGAATACTTTCGCAATGAAAAGATTGAAGAGTCCCCTCAATTAGGCGAAGACATTGGTGAAGGTTCCATACCTCTACGGTTTACGGTTTCGAAGGAGTAGCGATAACAAGGTTTTATTGCGAAAGGGGTTGTAACTCCTTACGAGGTCAAAGTTCATACACGCAGGGTCAACTACAAAAATCTTTTAAAGAGTACATTCTTATAGACTATAAATCTTTTTGATATATCTTGAAACATAGAATCACATCAGGGGGTGGAAAAATAATAATAATAATAATAATAATAATAATAAACAGAAGAATATCAATAGGTCTTTCCACAGAAAGGTGGAAAGACCTAATAAACATAAGCATTTCAAGAGGTCTTTCCACAGAAAGGTGGAAAGACCTAATAATAAACATAAGCATTTCAAGAGGTCTTTCCACAGAAAGGTGGAAAGACCTAATAAGAATAATAAGAATAATAATAAACAGAAAAAAATCAATAGGTCTTTCCAAAGAAAGGTGGAAAGACCTAAAAAGGAGAGTTAAAAAATCGCAGTCGAACTAGTCGAGGACAATCTGGTGGGAAACAAAAAATGTCTATGTGGGGAACAATATGATATCTGAAAACTCCAGAGTTACAGTAAAAGGCATTGCTATGTCACTAAACATTTCATCACCACACAGATTATAGAGTTCTCTTCCAAAGAAAGGACAATCGATGGTAGCTTTTAAGTTAAATATACACAGGGAAATCAAGCAGGCTTTCTATCGTTAGAGTCCAAATACCGGTCCCCAGATTAGTTTTCTTAAGATTTACCTGACAACGCTGCTGCATATTAGCATAGATGTAGAACGTAAATCCTGAAGAAAGAGAAAGGGACATTTACAGAGCGTAACAATCCCCGTATTCGCTAGATCTTAATCATTGTAAGATCCACAAAATTAATCAACTGAAAACTTTACAATATCATATCTTTCATCGGAAGTGCTATTCATCAGTATCTTTAGGGCATCCCTATATCTGATTTGCTGAAGTAATTTGGTCATGGGAATCAAGTCTTTTGACATTTGTAAATGTCAACAGGGAATACTATAAAGGATGAAAAGTATTTTAAAAACTGCCTCTCATTCTTTTCGTATTTTTATATGATCTTTTGAATTACTTATTGAACGACATTTACGAATCTCTTTTCATGAGATTTTAATGATATTTTAGGGTAAGTTCCATGGAAAAGTTGCAAGAAATTTTACGAGTAGAAATTAAGCGTCTGTGATTCTGTATCCAATCTGATGATTACATGTACCAAAACCGTCTTTGTTATTTGAAACATTGCATTGTCTTATTCTTTTTTACGTCCATAATTAGGTATATATGGAAGAAATTGAGACTCTCACAGTTTATGTTACCCTTTTATTTTGTTATATTTGGTTAAAATAAGAAGTGCAATAACACAAATTCCATGTACATCATTGTTTAGACACATTCACTTGTGCTTATCAAGTACTCGGGAAATGATAAAGTGTAATTAAAGTTGGGGTTTTTTTTTTTTCATTTTAAGGATGTAATAAAAAGTAAAAAACAGTTTATTTGAAGCCAGCTTGCTTACATTAAGTAATTTATTTCCTTGTGGTGATAAACGTATTGTTCACAAGAAAAATAGAAGGGGAAAAGGAAATATATTTTTAAAAAGTCCCATAAAAATTATGTTGTTAAACCCTAAATTAATTTTTATTCATTCGAAGGATCTTGCTGAAAAATAACCTTGTTCGGTGATTAAAATAACAACATACATTTCCACACAGACTAAATTCTATGCAAGTTGTGCAACCAGCGTTAACAAATTTCAAACAGCGAAACGACCGTTGCCATGGAAAAAGAAAAAAAAACATGAAAAAAAATGAATTACAGTATTCTCAGTGCTGCCTTATAAAATATTAATCCTGATCACAAATAGCTCTTTATCCCAAATGCAATGAAAATTAAGAAAACAATAATAACATTTATTATGAAATGACAACATATAATACATAAAACCTTTAAAAAAAAGATTGGGAGACCAAGTAACATTACAACATAATTCCTGAGAAAAAAAATTGTAAACAATCGTGCAGTAAAAAATTGGCCTCCCAGTTTTGACTGTGAAAATCGGTTTAATTAGATGCTTGATTGTAATGCGTAATGTATGTAAAATTAACAGTCTCAAGAATGTTTTACCGCTACCACGGACGAACGAGTAATCGCCATTGCACTAGTATTAAAAGCATTAATCACGATATGTTGATAAATGCAAATCTCTCGATATAAGGTTGTGAAATTCAATACCAGATATGTCTACAGAGTATCAACAAATGGAAAGTATTCAGTATTGGTTTAACAACGATTCCAATAATGTTGCAAATGTATATCATATTAATGAGAAATAAGTCTAAAAGAATTAAAGATCATTATTAATTGATAAATTACATTTTTTACGTGTACCTTCGATAATAAATGAAAAACGAACTTTAGAAAATTTATATCTATTTTCAATCTCTTTTAACAACTACATTTTTATTGTTATTCCACCGGTGAATCATTACCCAAGCTTTGGGGATATAATGTCTGGTTATGACATTTTTTGGGAGGGGGGATTACTTAAATGTTTCCAATATTGTTCTATTTAAAACAAAGCATGAAAAACTGGGAATCAAAAATTTATTGCATCTATTCTAAATATACAAATTCCTTTACATCATTAAATGCTTGAAATTATTTTTAAAATGAAATCAAATTAAAAAGCTTTTATTACTTGATTCTGACACATTAAAAATTCATTTAATAAGATAAGACATTGTAGAGAAAACAAACTGCGTATTCGAGTTTTTCTGTAATGATTGAAGCCATTATCTCCTGTATTAACAAGAAAGAAAATAGTTTTTTACTGTTCATATTTATATCTGTATAAATTATTTGTATAAAGTGGATGAAAGTACGTAAGTTATTGTATGATTGGTCCTTATGTTACGTTACATAGTTACTTAAAACGAGAGATTATGTATTGAATATATACTGGATATCCTTTTGTCAAGAGGAGGCGGAGCCCATTGGTGCAAAAGGGATATGTGATATAGCTCATAACTAATCAAGCTGTTAACTATGTAGCTTATTTCTCCGTTGGAATCTCTACTTTTTTTCTTTGAAGGTTTTATACTAAGTACGTATTTTTAAAGAACAAAATGGTAACGAGGCGTTGACAAATTTCGAAAATACCAGTTTTTATAAACTATATAAATCACTTTATAAATATCGGTTATTGTGTGAGCTACGTTTACAAGTGTCATAATGACCTTCGGGTATCTGCACATAAACAATAATATTATATGGGGTAACTACTATGAAGTCTGATTCAGTGTTTCCTTGAGATTCATTGTTATCCATCTTTCTCGTTTGAGTCTTCAGAATTTCATTATCATTCACTTCTGATTCAATCAGTAATAAAGATTGATTGTGTATTGTTTTACGTCCCATTCGAGAATTTTTCACTCATATAGAGACGTCACCATATACCGGTGAAGGGCTTCAAATTTTGACCTTTACTCGGCACTCAGGGCCATTGAGCAGTGAGGGATCTTTATCGTGCCAACGCCTGCCGTGACACAGGGCCTCGGTTTTTAAGGTCTCATCCGAAGGACCCGCAACTTTCACTTCAAAGTGCCGAGCGCATGGCGAAGGAACAGTTGCTACCTATTTTTTATCGACTTAGGTCTGTCGCGGCCGAGATTCGAACTCACGACCTCCCGATCACGGAGCGAGCGCTCTACCGACTGAGCTACCGTGAACGGTTCAGTAATAAAGAAGAACGATTTGTATCTCTATGTCATTGGTTTTCTTTTTATAATCCTTTAATAATAATAATTCAACGATTGTTACTTAAACAGTGAACGAAAAACTGAAACAAATTCCATCAATATTAGACTTACGATCGGATCGTAAAAATGAAATGGAGTATGAATATAAGGGAGTTGTGACTATATACCATATAAAAGCCCATTTTACATTCATTTATACACATTTAATTTGGATAGATCTCCAAATGGTTGTTGAAGCAGGAATGTCGACAATTTCACTTTGAGAAGAACAAATCTCAGCATATGGCAGTCGTGATGGCTCGTCTTACAATCGTCAACTATCTTCTTGTAATATATCATGTCTTTAGTAAGTTTTACTTCTTGTCTGTTCTTATTCTACACATATTTAACACGATGCTTAAATTAGACAGTGTACATATAGTAAGATTTCATCTCATTTTAATTCATATTCAAGTAAAACAATCACATAATATAATTTGTCTTTTCAGTTCTATTTTAGAGTTATATCCCTTATATTTTGATAGATATTCAAAATTTGAAATCCTTTTTTTTATTTAGATATAGCAGACCAAAGTAGTTCTAAGATGTGTACCTTCAAGCCTTACACGGATGAATGTGGGAATCGTGGATGGTTATGGAACTGTAGTAAACTTAACATTCATACAGTTCCCAGAAACATTTCAGTTAGATTTGGGCTTAATCCCTTGGCTTTGGATCTTTCCAGGAACAAATTTAACACGATATCCTCTGGATCTTTCTCTGAGATCAATATCAATTTGTTGCAAAATATAACAGCTCTCTATCTACAATACAACATGATTACACTCATACGAAAATCGGCTTTTAGTTACTTAGGGAGTTTGTGTGTTCTTGATCTCTCTAACTGCAATCTGAGAAAATCTTCACTGGCATACCTTGCATTTGCTAATCTAACTAAGCTGAAAATTTTGCGTATCCATCAAAATGAATTTAAATATCTAGGATATCCTGATATTGAGATTTCCAGAATTCTAACATTGCAAAAACTGACAATAGGAGTCTTTGAAGAGTTTCAATTTAGTGACCAATTTCGAAAGCTTAGACAACTAGAAAGTTTGATCTTGACTACAGAAAATTCTAAATTTTACCTTAAAAGAACAACTTTTGCTGGCTTGTCTAACTCTCCTATACATTCCCTCATGTTGAATTTCAGAAATCTGGTCTATTGTGATGTAAGTGAAGAAATCTTTTGCTCATTTCCTGTTTTAAAAGGTGTTTTTATTGACTTTGGTGGAATGTGTGATTTGAACGTTGCATTACTATCCTTAAAATGTCTTCAGAATAGGACAATGGATTACATTAATGCTAATGGAAATATACCAAGACTTGTAGAAAGAGCAGTTTTTCTAAATAAGGAAAATTGTAAATATTTGTTCTCTATATGCAGCAAGAAAGTCATTCTTAGTGGAAACCGTATAGCTGGAATTTCAGATAACCCCCTTAAAACACGAATAGGTCAATGCATGGAATACTTTGACATATCTGAGAATAGTATTGAGTTTGTAAAGCCTGTTATATTTTTTGATATTCTAACCCGATATCCGAGACTACAGGTACTAAACTACTCCGAAAATACGAATAAATTTATTGTTAATGAAGCATTTCCCCACAATAATTCATATATTATGAAGTTTAGGGGAAGAATGGTTTTTGCTATGAACCTTTCAAAACATTTAAAAGTATTACAGATCTCCAGGAATTATTTCAAACTTTTGGGTCCATCATGTCCGTTTGACATTGCTATATTTGGCGAACATTTAAATGAATTAGATGTATCATACACAAGATTTCCATGCAAATGTATAGCTCCATTACAAATGCCTTCTTTAAAAGTTTTTGACATATCTAATAACCAGTGTGGTGAAACGAATTATCCAATTTTACAATTCGCCATAAAACTGGAAAAATTTTTGGCGAAAAATGCACAACTTGGCCAAATCAAAAATTTAATAATGGAAAAATTTTTCATTAAACTGAAAAGACTGAAAATTGTAGATTTACGCCTTAATAATATATCTTATTTACCGCATACTATGTTTGAAGATCAAAAACTTTCCCTTTCACAGCTTTTTCTCGATGGAAACAAATTGTCAAAAATCCCTGTATCACATTTACAAAAGCTGGACCAACTTTACATACGTTCTAATAAAATTTCACTCTTAGCCAAATCCGACATCGACAATATATTAACATTGCAGAAGGATATAAAAATATTCATCGCAGGAAATCCAGTAAGTTGTGAGTGTGCTCACATCTATTCTCTCAAATGGATGAGAGAGAATCAACATAAGTTTGGGGATTTGAAGGAAAGCAAATGCATTATCGAAACAATATCACTAGAAGATTTTTTTCAAGAGAAAACATTTAAAGAATTTGAGAAAAAATGTCAGGCATACACTTGGCTAACGTGTTCTTCCATTATGTTGGTACTTCTACTTACCGGTATATTGACAGCAGCTTGTTTGAAAAAGTATCGTGTCCACATTGATTATGCTATTTTGCGCCTCCGTAATCGATGGAAAGGTGTCATGCACGTGGTAAATCCTAAACAATTCCAATTTGATGCTTTTGTGTCATATGCAGAAGAAGACTATCATTTAGCCTGCACAACTCTGTATCGAGAGCTGGTCCGATTAGGCTTCCAAATTAGTTTACCAGATAAAGACTTTATCCCAGGTATATCAAAAGCTGAGCAACTCCTGCAATGCATCGATGATAGCCGGAAAGTTATAATTGTCGTAACCGAAAACTTCCTAGAGAGTGGGTGGGATTCCTATGTCGTTCAGATGGTAGTGACACATGCTTTTCACAATAACAGACAAAAATCCATAATAGTGATCATTAAAGATGATATTCCTGTAGAGAGAATACCAAAGGATCTACGATACATATGGTGGTCTATCATAAGTATTCGATGGCCAGAAAATGGCGGCAATATGATATCATTTTGGGAAGAAATATCTACCGCTTTGCACTTGAATTAGATAATTGATAGTTTTGATTACATGTACTAATCATTTGATGTTTTATATTATGCATATACTGATCTAGTTCTGCTTGAATGACAAAATTCCCTATACTAGCGTCTCCGTTGGCATACCTATACGATATACAGATCCAATTCCAAATTAATAAAAAATTTATATGTCACCTCTTTTCGTTGCACACAATTTGTTTAAGGAATGTGTACCATTTATACAAGGACAATTGAGCTAGGGTTCACCTTTGAGTGAAGATTAAACGCGTAGATTCATATTCTGTGTTGTGTGACAATGCAATTCTGTGAGCTTTGTTCTGAAGGTATTTTTACAATTTTTTATAACTTTTCTCATTGAAATTTTGTTGGTATGCGTAAGCATGATTTTTAAAGATAAGGAACAGCAACTATATTCAAAAGTCCAATTATAAGAGGAGCGTACACAGAGCTCTGTTTGTTTGTTTGTTTGTTTTTTGTTTAACGTCCCTCTCGAGAATTTTTCACTCATATGGAGATGCCACCAATTGCCGGTGGAGAGCTACAAATTTTGACGTATACTCGGCACTCAGGGCCATTGAGTAGTGAGGGATCTTTTTCGTGTCAGCACCTACTGCGACACGGGACCTCGGTTTATACGGTCTCATCCGAAGGACCGGTCTCCACGTCCCACAGTGGGATTCGAACCCGCGACGTAAGGATCAACTCCTTACTCCGCGACTCTAGAGCGAACGCTCTAACCACTGCGCCACGCGGGCGACCACAGAGCTCTGAAAACAGTGGTGGTGACATTATCATTCTAACCAGCTTCATGATTCGTAGAATGTTTTTAAAATATTTATATGTATCTATATACATGTATTTAAAACTTGTTTGAAATGTAAATCATTTATGTGTATGATTGTTGAAATCGGATCAAAAGCAAAAGATATTGGTTTCCATTTTATACATGTATATTGCATTCATAAGGTATAATGATACATTATCATTTGATGACTTTATTTTACACCTAATTATATTATATGAGAATGATAAATACTTAAATATATGAGGAGATAAATGAAGTCATAGAGAGGTTTTTTTAGACTCAATACTTAAAGCTTACTTTTTTTGAAACATCTGACATATAATAGTAAGATAGATTATCTAACATACCGTTAAACCTTCTAAGGGGGAGCATGTTATTACCACAACTTACAAAAACTTTCAATATATTTGATCTTCCAAGAACTTGTGAAAGCTTCAACATATTTTTTTTCAAATTTAATTATGCTATTGGATTGGTGCTAATATTGATAATTTAAATGAAGGTGATGCTGCACGTAGCGGATATTTTCAGGAAAAGTTTAGAAGAAATTTTATACCATGTCCATTCCTAAGCATGTATAATGATGTCCGAACGTAAGCATGTAAACACATACAAGAAGATTAATAGAGATTCAGATGCCTTATATGTCGATTGTATATATACATGTACATCATGTAATCATTTAGGTGTATTTGGAAAAATGAATACATGTACTCTAGAAGCAATATATATTTTTGTGGGATAAATATTTTGTTTTTTATTACGAAACATAAATTTATTTTTATTTAATTAAGTCTTTTCCAGACTCTCAAAAATAAAGATTTGTCTTGTTTGTTTTATCACCATTTGTCATAAAGTGAATGACAGCCATGTGTAGGTTATTTGTTTTTCATTAAGAATATAGAAATCTGAGCTGAGTTGTAACAAGTGTGTTGTTATTCATTAATCAAATTCCATTTATTCATTTTCTAAAATTAACTTATATGTGTAGTCTTAATGTTTCTTTTGTTGGTTAAATTACGAGAGCCTTTGTCCATTGATCTACCCTCGCTGAATCAAGAAAGTGATTGCTTTAACTCTAACTAATGATACAATCAAAAACTTGGACGATCATCCAACAGCTTCACCTTCTAGATTTTGCAAACGAAAAGTTGGAGAATACATAATATTCAAAAACAACAGCTAAAAATTTGTAAAAAAAAAAAAATAATTGTTGAAGAAGTTGATGTAACGGAAAAATGCTCCAAAAACACAAGAAATCAAGAAAAAAAAAGTATTTGAAGAATGATATATGACAATCATCAAAGATTTAAACTAATTCGGAGCAAAGATTCTCAGTTGAAATAAAAATTTCACCAACAAAAGTACATTGTACGCTTATGTTAGGTGGAAAACTATACGAGCAAGTAAACTGTTTATCAAATATTTACCTGCGTCTGAGGGTTTGTTTAAAAAACAATCATAGCTACTCCTGCTTATACGAGAGTTGTCCCGGAAAAACGCGAACTTTTTGAATATTTCAAAAACAATTCGACCAAAATGAATGATTCTTTGCACCTTGTTGGAAAATGAAAAAGTTTTAGAAATAGCATTGTCAGTGAAGTTTTCTTTATTACCAGGCTATACAGAAATATAATGTGAAAAAATTACCTCCATAAAAACTCTATGATCTGAAGTACTCATGTGTAAAAATTCATTAATTTAGAATTACACGTGACAAAAATATGACATTAGATGCAAAACTACCTTTACTTAGATATTGTCAAAAATAGTGACGTCGGGTGATAATTCGGAGCACCAAATTATCAAGCATTACTGTTGATCGGGATATGACTTGTTCATACGGGAATAGATATGTAAATGATGGAACGACACAAACATATATCTCGGACAAAGATTTATACCTAGTTCAAGAGGTTCGAGGATGGCTTAACTGGTTATTCGATGGAAGAAGCATTTGGCAGACCAGCACACTGAAAAATCAGAATCTAGACGCCATACGTAGCGACGGCCGTTTAACTAAGCAAGCAGTTAGGTAAACTTATGACCTGGGTTGGGAAATTGGAAACGCTAATTAATATCTGAGATAGATAATTTAGTAACTAAAAGAAATTTAAATACAGTATCGAATTTATGCTTCAAACGAATTTTATCAGACACAATATTCCATAATAAATTCATAAACGCCACGAGTTACGTTTTGACGTCATCGGTGTTGCGCCGACAGCTATTTTGTAAGATTCGTTTATCCGAGAGAAAAAATGTTATTTACAAGGATATTTTATTGAAATTTTTATGCATTATTCAAAAAATATTTATTATGGTGAATGCCAATTTTTAACTTTCTAGTATTAGTAAACAAAATATATTGAAAATGTTCGCGTTTTTCGGGGACAACCATCGTATAATTGTTATAGGGCTGAAAATCGTGGTCTGCTACGAAATGATCCCATGTGAGTTAGGATATTAACCATGATCAATGAGAACAATGAAACTGAGAAGAGAAAAGGTAAAAACAAAATGCCTGTTACCTCATACATACTCATTATAAATTTTACTCAGAAATATGGCCCCTTCTTGAAAGTAGATGTTGGAGGAGACATGAGCAAAAGATTGCAGTATTGTTGACCAGGATGACAAAACAGAGTGACTGGTGCAATCGGCAATTCGCTTAATATGATTACTCCCTTTTCAGCCAATGCAAAAGGTGCTAACGGAAATTTTTTTCCAAAATAATGGAAAATAACTCATTAATGAAAACACTGCAAAATGTTCCGTCCCCCTACAATGATACATGTATGATTAATATGACCATTTGAAAATAGTAAAAAGTAACTAAATGAAGAAAATGAATCTTACCGATCTCAAAAAACCTAAAAACAATACAGATCTGTTAACACCAGGCTTGAGGCAAATTATATTATAAAATAATGCATTTCATTGCCATTAATTCTAGAATTTGGACATTAAATTACCATTACCATTACTTTCATTTCTTAAAGTAATGCATAACATTACCATTATTTGAGTTAAGTAATGCATTACCATTGCCATTTCTTTTTGGATTTTGAAAAATCGAAATTTAAAATTTGTGCAACGATTTTCATAAACACCCAAAAACCTTCAAACTAAATGAGATGAATGTTAATTCAAATTTGATTATCAAGTACTATCATTTATTACATTGTTAATTACTTAATTATAAGACACAAAAACCAATCACCTTTATAAAATAAATCTATGTACAATATGCACTCTATGTCTAGTGTGTAATTTTATATTTGATATCAGACAACAAAAGCTTTTGGGAAACTGCTGACCCAAACTATTTCAATATATCAGACTTTAGATATTTTGATCAAGTACGTTATGAAATAAAACTAAACACATTGCAAATAAAGGTGTTGGAAAGTCTCGGTCTGCTACCTAAAAGTACATGTAGCATGCCTGTCTTCTATTCCTTTTTGGTTCAATGGATTTGTCATGGTCAGCTCCAGCTAGACCAGCTCAATTAATGTTTCATAAACACAGTCAGGAAAGGAATTGTTTTGGAGCTTCTCAAAAGAGAACAATTATTTGATTCTGACATGTTCCAAGAAGCACTGTGTTAAGTTGACACTAATTCGCGAAGTGCCAATAATCACTGGAATTAATCTTAAACTCTATTGAATATTCTTTGAAAAAAAAGCTTATTTAAAATTGGTAGGAAACTATAAATGAGTTGTACATGACAATAAAATTTAGTAATTAATGATTCCCATTTCCATTTTATTTATTTTTTTTAATGTGCATATTCAAAATAATGTATTGTAATGCTTTGTAGGCAAGCATAACTCTAGATCTGAGAAAGTAATGCATTTCATTACCATTTTATATAATCCAGATTTATGTATTATCTAAAGGGAATGGCGAATAATTTCCCCTGTAAAAAAAATATGACCAGAGGTCATTTCTGACGTCGTAAAATGACCCACAGCCGTAGAAAAACGTCCTTTTATGTAGAAAAAGTCCTAGGGGTCAGTTTTTTAAATGTGCAACCTATAAAACATTTACTTCTGTTGAAATATTACCCCCACATCTCGGTAGTTATACAAATTTAAGTTTAAAAGAGAAGATGAATGCCAAGGAAAAGGGTCACGTGACATGATTAAACTAATACAATGCTGCACGTCGACGATCCACCAATCAGGACAAAGTACGACGTTATACAAAACAAGTAATAGCTTTCCAAAAAGCTTGCCTGACTAAATCAATCAATATCTATGGTTTGTATAAGCATAAAAAAGTGCTAAATGTTTCAGTCATCAAGGAGCGACATAATTGTGATATATTTGACTTCACAATTACAACTATATAACCATATACTCCGCGTATCATTGTGTAACGTAACTATGTAACTACTGTTGTTTATTTTGTAAAGCTTCTGAAGATAGAATGAAAGGCCGAAAGCTTTACTGAGGTTTTTCGCGTGTTCCCTCTTTATTTTAAGTATATAATATAATATAATATAATATAATAGAAATCACAACACAGACCAAATAAAACAGTATGTTTTAGTGCATAGCTGCACATGGTATCGCCAAATACTTTAGAAGATACACCGTAGTGAAGTAAAGTTATTGTTTGAGGGCATTCTCTATCCACAGTTGTCGTTTTCGGTACCTATGTAAACATTTGGTTTACAATGTTCTTGAGAACAATGTCAATGGTGAAAAGTTTTATCAAAAATAGTTTTAATCATGTATTTATGAGTAAAATGGACTTATTTTTTTTTCATTTACCATCCCCTTAAAGGAATTTTAATCTGTGTTATAAGTTTTATTTCGCAGTATAGTTCCTTGCAATTAACCTAAAACATAAATCATTTCAAGGGATGATAGTTCTAAATAAAACAATAAATAACAGTTATATTGATATTACATTCATTAATTACGAATTTAATTTTAAATTTTCAACGTTTAAAGTTTCTCCAAGAATCTTGTACAACGATATAGTAGTGAGTGTTTGACACATAGTACATGTTCTCATCTCTGACTCGTGCACATGTGTCAAATCTAGACTAAATGTATTTATAATATGTCGCCATAGGACATCTAAACGATAACACTATTGAATGATTAGACTGAACTATATAGGTACTTAGATAAACAGACAACTTACCAAATTTCTGCCATTGAGAATTTCCATTAGTAATATTTATTTTTAGCGATGATGGAACTGACACATGGTGCATCGGAGGTGAGAGCACTATGTGTCAAACACTGACTACTATAATATCAAAATATATCATCTAAAGAGTAATACTATAATAATTATTATGCTGACTTTTGTCAATTTAATTAAATTCTCAATCATGAACTTGTTTGCAGACGTAAAAACTTAAATGGACATTTTTCTCGAACATTCTTTAATCAAACGTTAAATCAAAATGAGTTAAATGATTCTGAAGTACCAATTCATGTAACTTTGCCATTGTGGTTAATTAATTCGAATATATTTGTTAAAGACGTTATCTCCAAAATTGTGTCCATGATATCAGTCTTTCGAAAATGAATTTTTGTTTTCTGTGAAATGTATGAAAACAACGTTTATATGGGAGGAGATATATTTTCTAATCTTACAATGTTTGTGGCATAATCTGTAGCGCGTTGGACTACGTTCTTTTGTTCGTGAGTTCGATGCCTAGCGTCGGTGCTTACAAATTTTCTCTAAAAAAACAGCCATGCACTAATTCGGCATAGTACATGTATGTGTAAGCTATGTATATAAATCCTTTGTATGCTATGCGAAGATAGTTTGGTATTGGTCATATACACATAATGTGACAGGAAGCATGATAATTGCAAGTTTGACTATAGGCAATAAAACATTTTAAGAAGAAACAAAAATCTTTAAGCACTGTTTGCTTTTTTACACGTTTATTATTATCATTCCTTCTTGAAATGGAATTTCATATAAAATGTTAGATAAATAAAGTTTTTGATCAGACTGCTTAAGGTAGGATTCTTTCCAAATCTCAGTAAATAAAGTTTTCTTTTTCCACTTGTAGATACTGATTAAGAGATTTCACAGAAAATTATAAACAGAATTATTCATCTGTATAAATTGTCATACATTTATTGAGAAATATGCCGTTTTTTACAGCAATATACTCTTTAGTGAACAGGAAAGGTTTACACGTTTCTAAAGTTTGAATTTAAATAACAAAGTAATCCTACTTTCAGGAAGAAATGTAAATTAACATTAATAATTTGATTAAACTGGAAAATTATGATTGAATTATTGCATATAATATCCCTTTGAAGAATTTTTTTAACAGGAAATAGTGGTGAAAGTTCTCACAAAAGCTGCACATTTAATGCCAGCTTTTTTTTTTCGAAAGATTTGAATTGATATGACTATTCTTAGAAGAATCAATTACAGGCGACAATCTGACATGTTTTAGGTAAGATATTTAACAAACGTTTTAGGCGTTTACTTTTTTAATGCTCGTGCTGAAATCACTAAAGAATCGTTAATCTAATCTTATTTGAATATTACTGCTTAATATTGTTAATCTAAAAAGTCGTTAATGAGCTATTGCCATTGTTACTTAGAAATAGATCTACATGTATGATAAATCAATTTCGCGTAAATTATCTAATATCTTGATTTTTACTAAATAGTAAACCACAGTATAATGTGTTGACATTAAATTTACATATATAGATTTCTTTTTGTTTTTTTTTTTAATTAGTATTATATTTCTTTGAAAAACATTTATCGTTGGTCGTCATCCAGACATAAAGCGAGCGAATTTGACTTGAAAATGTATAATATGCATGTATTGTCATGCTTATAAACATGTATCTTAATTTGATTGTGAATCCTAATTTCTCGAGAAAACGTTTCCTGCATACGACCAAGTAAAACCTCTTTTTGAGATAACTCGAGAGACCATAATTCTTGGTCCAAGATATATTTTCAAAATGTTAACAACTGGAAATTGTTATAGATTTCAGTATATTATTGTTTATATATCATTCATCATTTTTGGAAGAAATTGCACTTTTTCTTTACTATTAAAAGATGTCACATACAGGCACTGAAGAATTTCATTTAGAGGAAATAAACCTCACGATGTCCATATCTAGAACACTGTTGGCTTTATCTCCTGTATCTTTAGATCTTGTCCAAGCCAATCAGCGCTATGTGGGTTCATTGTACCAAAAAAACATATACAATATTAATGAATACGTCAATTTCAATTTGTATGCGTAAATATAAATACGTTTATAATTCTTGCGTTAAATAAATCTGACTCTTTGTTTCCTTAACAGCTATTGTTAGCAATTTTCCTCATTTGTTTGTCACTGGTATCCTTTAATGAAGATGTGCCGAAAGTTGCTGCTTAAAACTGAAATTATATGCATTTTGAACGAAATGTATGGAGATAACGCAAGATCAGAGAGAAATGTGCATGAGAGGTAATTCAAGAGAGATGTAAATATAATGTACTCTAATATCACTCTTTCGCTTTCCTAAATTGTAAGCTATTGCATATGAAGGTAAGAGGCAAGGCAAGGCAGTCCCAACCTCACCTTCGTATACGCTTTTAATGAGGATTACAAGTGAAATATACCCTACCTGCAATATAGGCTTATGAATTCGACGTAAAACCACATTTTTTGTAAGATAAGCATTGCTTTTACAAATTAATTCATTATCTATTGAGCGCGCTGAAGAAAAACCACACTGGAAAATGAACTTATGATTAAGTTTATGAAGAGTTTGCTCGTGTGGAGATATCTAAATTATTCATTTACAACTTGACGAAGGAAACTCAACAGATGTACAAAAGTATCGTACTATGAAGTATTTCTGTTTTTATTTTATTTTATTTTCAGTATGACACAAAAAGCAAAGTGTTCAGACTAGCGTATAAAAGAAACTTCACAACCCAATCCCTATCCCAAGTGATTTGACTTTATGAAAAGGGAATTTAGGTAGGTGTCTAAAACACGAGGGATTTATAATCGTGTAGTTTTGTGAGAAGCTCCCCGAACGAAAAGAAATCCCCGTTTTCTTATATTGCTGTAATACATTTAAAAACTTTAGAACAATATTAATAGTCCAGTGCGAATACGTCCCGCAATTTGACGTCTTGGAATCATTTTGAGTTAAAAAAAAAAAAAAAAAAAAAAGATATATACTCGTAAAAGTTAGGGAATCTTCAACGCTGTTTCTCTCCCAATTCCGATTTTATATGCATTTTAAACGTTTTATAACAATACAAACGAAATTAATGATGATAATTAAACGGCAGAACAACAAAGATTACATATGATGATAAATGTTGCAACCTATGTTTATTCACTTCTAAACGTTGATACAATATTTTGTGGCATATAAGAAATATTGTAATTTAACTTTTTCGGTTTAGATCGATATATTTTTTCATTCCATTTCATTCTGAAAAGATAAAAAATCAAATGAAAACTTTCTTTAATCAAACGTTAGAGAAAAAAATCAGATATCACCATTTTCTTTTTGTACTGGGTAAAAGACATGTTTATCAATATCTTCTTCGTAATGAAAATGTTAAAAATTGTTATTAAAACAAAATGAAATACCTATTTATTTCTAGATCTCCAATTTGTTCTTGATTCAAGACCACCAACAACTTCACTCCAAGAAGGAACATATAAGCCTTAGCAGATTGTAGTTGCGATGATTTATCCCTCAGTCATGAGCTATCTATTTGTAATTTTTCTTATTTTAAGTAAGTTTACTTCTTCTTTGCTGTTGTTGTACACGTAATACACAGGACGCTTAAGGACTAATGACCCTCATCATTGATTTTCATCAAGAGTATAACATCAGCTTCAAATGGAATATAGTATGAGGCATGAAGTGCTACTTGTTGTTTCAGAAATGATTTTTATGTCAGATCATGATATGAAGAAATTTTCACACAGAGAATAGAAAGAGTAATGACTTATTACCACAACATTAAATAAGAAATATGAGGTGTATATGAAAATAACATTTAGTATCATACCTATTTAAATCATCTTAGCGCTGCTAACTAAGTTAGAATATCACAATGTTGTATACGGTCGTAAGAAAAAAAATACATCTGTTGGGAAGGGTTATCTTTCTTATAAATATTTTTTCATTGGGAAAAAATGAAATACTAATAAAATTCTATACTATGTAATTAAAACATTAAATCGATTTTAAAATGGTCCTTGAAAAGATAGAATTTATTTGATTTATAAGACTTTTAAAACTGGATTAAGCCTTTTTTTTTTTTTTTTTTTTTTTTTTTTTTTTTTTTCTTTTTTTTTGATATAATAAACACAATTTGAAAAGTATAGGCAAAGAAAATAGAAGGTATAATGCTTCCATTATACGTTAGATATGATCGAATTGACTACTCAAAGGTCTCGATAATGAAACTCTGATAAAGAAATCTATTAGTAGTATTCGTATTTATAACCTGCAAAGTTATCTCTCTTATCAGAGGGTTCTCATCATAATACTTTATGAATTATTAATCTAAATTCAGATAAAAAAAACGATGAACTTGTATTTCAATTTTCATTTTATCCAAAGGTTTTATGTTAAGTATGTTTGACTGATGTACAAATATTTAATTCTTATTTTTAATTTAGAGATTGCAGAACAAACCAAGTCTATGACATGTACCTTCAAGCCTTACACAGATGAATGCAAGTACCGTGAATGGTTATGGGATTGTAGTAAACTGAACTTAGAGGCAGTTCCTCAAAACATCCCAGAAATATTCAGAGATAAGAACTTTGCTATGGACCTTTCCAGGAATAGTTTTACCAGTATATCCTCTGAAACATTTTCTGGGATCGATGAGAATTTCTTAAAAAACGTAACAGCTCTCTATCTCCAATTCAACAATCTTAGAATTGTCAAAAAATCTGCTTTTGAATATCTAGGGAATTTGTGTGTTCTTGATCTTTCTAACTGCAAATTGGGAAATTCTTCTCTGGCATATCAATCTTTTGCTAATCTAACTAAGCTAAAGATTTTGCGTATGCATCACAATGAATTTAAACATCTGGGATATCCAGATATTGCGATTTCCAGAATACTGTCATTGGAAAGTTTGACAATAGGGGTTTTCGAAGGGTTTCATTTTTGTGACCCGTTTGAAAAGCTTACACAATTGACAAGTTTGAATTTGGTTACAGAAAATTCAAAATTTCGCTTAACAAATACCACTTTTGCTGGTTTGTCCAGGTCTCCTATACATTACCTTAGTTTACAATTCCAGCCCAAGGGATTTTGTGATGTGAGTGAAGAAATCTTTTGCTCATTTCCTGTTTTGAAGGGTGTGCATATCCAATTCGGGGGAATGTGTGATTTGAACGTTGTCTTACTGTCCTTAAAGTGTCTTCAAAATCGGACAATGGATTACATTGTTGCCATTGGAAATATACCAATTTACCCAGTGAGGGAAGTTTTTCTAAATAAGAGAAATTGTAAATATTTGTTCTCTATATGCGTCAAGAAAGTAAAGCTTAGTAGTAACCGGATAGCGGGAATTTCAGAAAACCCCCTAAAGACACGAATGGGTCAATGCATAGAGTATTTTGACATATCTCATAATAGAATTGGTTATATCAAACCTGTCATTTCGTTTGATTTTCTTAACCGATATCCAAATCTTCAGGTACTTATCCTTAGCTCAATTGCGAATCCTCATTTTCTTGATGAAATATTTAATCACAGTCATTCATATCGTATTGGGATCAAAAAGAAATTACTTGTTACTATACATCTTTCAAAAAAATTAAAAGTATTACAGCTATCAAATAATTTTTTCCATATTCCTCCATCATTTTCCATTGACATAACTGTAACTGGTGAACGTTTAAAAGAAATAAACGTATCAAACACAAATCTCCCTTGCAAACATATAGCTCCGATACACACATCTTCTTTAGAAATTCTTGATATTTCCAATAACGGGTGTGGTGAAATGAAGCTCGGAGTCTTACAGTTCGCTACAAAACTGGAAAAAATATCTGCAAGTAATGCAGAACTTAATTTTTCCAATACATTCAAAATAGAAAAACTTTTCATTGGGCTTAAAAGACTGAAAGATGCGGATTTAAGCCATAATTCTATATCTCACTTACCGAATACTGTGTTTCAAGATCAAAAGCTTTCTCTTTCAACTTTGAATCTTGATAAAAATGAATTGTCAAACATCCCTGTATCACATTTACAAAAGCTGTTGCACTTGCAAATACGTTTTAATAAAATATCCGTTTTAGCAAAATCAGATATCGAAAACTTATCAACATTCCATAAGGATCTAAAAATTCTCATCGAAGGAAACCCAATAAGCTGTGAGTGTGCGCATATTTCTTCTCTGAAATGGATGAGAGGAAATCAACACATATTTGGAGATTTGAAAAGCACCCAATGTATTGACAGATTAGTTTCAATGGCAGAATTGTTTCAGGAAAAAGCATTTATTGAGTTTGAAAAGAAATGTCAAGTAAACATATGGCTATCATGTTCTTCCTTTTTGTTAGTACTTCTGCTCCTCTCAATACTGACAGCAGCACTTTTGAGAAAATATCGAGTCCATATTGATTATGTCATTCTGCGTTTGCGTGGTCGATGGAAAGGTGTTATTCATGTGGTTAATGCAAAAACCTTCCGATTTGATGCTTTTGTGTCATACGCAGAAGAGGACTATCAATTAGCCTGTACAACTCTGTATCGAGAGTTGGTCCATTTAGGCTTCCAAATTAGCTTACCAGATAAAGACTTTATCCCAGGTATATCAAAAGCTGAGCAACTCTTGCAGTACATCGATGATAGCCGGAAAGTTATAATTCTTGTTACCGAAAACTTCCTGATGAGTGGATGGGATTCCTACGCCATTCAGATGGTAGTGACTCATGCCTTTCATAATCACAGACAAAAGTCGATAATAGTGATCATTAAAGATGGTATTCCTATTGAGAGAATCCCAAAGGACCTGAGATACATATGGTGGTCTATCATAAGTATTCGATGGCCAGAAAATGGAGGAAATATGATATCATTTTGGGAAGAATTATCTACATCTTTGAACTTGGATTAAATGAAAAAATACTCTTGTGAATTTATTATAAATTCTTATATATTTGTTGCAGGTAGCTGTGTGCTCGAACTTTAATTCGAATCCTATTCTTCTTGAACTAAGTAATAAAACTACATTCCATCTTCTCTTTTCATACCAAAAAGTCTAAGGAGAACAGCATTATGCTTCTTCACAAGGACAACTTAAGTTTCATCTTTAGATGATGATAGAATAAATCTGTATGACGTTTGACGATGGAATTATTTGCGCTTCTTACCACTGTAATGGAATTACCCAAATCCTCAGTGTAAACAGTGTGCCATATGTTTTAAATTCAAGATTTTTAAAATCATTTTTCTTAAGACTTCATCCCTTTATACAAAAATAACTTATTTGACATAAAAAGTGAGCATTAATCATCAACAATCAAGATTCGTCTGTTGTTTTTTTTTTTTTTTTTTTTCTGAATCAATTAGTAAATTTAGTGAATTCATCTAAGTGTGTTTTAGTTTTATCTTGGTTTATTTGATGAATGTCGGATTGCATGTAGTGCTATTCATATCCACGTGTAAGATATTACTGAAGTATTTTATTATTATAAATGTTGTTGGTCGTATAACAGTACCTTGCTTTGTCGATAAATTTAATACCCTGGCTTTAGCAGTACGTTTAATCCTTGATGTTATTAGCATAGGCCTTGATTTAAAAAGAAGACACTATTAACACTTATTCCATTTCTATCATTGTTTAGCCATCTTTACTGTTTGGAGATTTTTAGTAGTGTTGTCAAAATCGGACGATTTTTAGTAACCGGTTACTCGCTTACTTTTCCGATCAAGTAACCGGTTACTCGGATGGTTTTTCTTTAGACATCGAAACATTCTTGTTTGCAGTATGTAAACTCAGCTGTAATTTAAACTGTATGTAATGTGGTTACAATTTCTATATTTATCTTATCATTTACAAAACACAAATGTACTGCATATGAACTTTATTTATAATTACGAACACGCAATTTCTTCTAAATAAATTTGTTATCGAACACCCCGTAATCGTTGGCTGTTTTGCGCTTTATGTATCGCTGGTTTCACAGTTATATTTCAGTCTGAGGTGGATAGGCATGATTGTTGTTCCACCCGTGTATGTTAATTCCGTTTCACATAATTTACACCTCATGGATTAAAATTCAGCCATTCTTTAATTTTTTTTCACTCTCTCGGTGCATGTGGCGGCATCTTCTTTAATCAAGTACTGCGGACTACCGAAGGTTTATGTTAGGTAATTATAATTAAATCAAGCCTTCAAAACCTGTATAACCCTTGGTAATCATAGCCATTTATTAGATAAACTGTGAAATACAAATCAAAACAAATCGACCGCATTTGTAAAACGCTAGGTCGAGACTATCGTTAAATAACGGTAAATAAAATCGGGACATTATAAACAGAAATATATTATTCCTACTGAGTTACTTTATTAAATTCATAACTGAGTAACCGAGTAGTAATTTTAATAACCGATACTCGAATCGTTCGACGATTAACCGGTTAACCGGGTACTCGTTGACAACACTAATTTGTAGCTCTAATCGTGCAGTGTTTGTCAAGTAAACGGGAAATGATCAAATACTAGTAAAAATAAAGGTTAAATGATAATGTTCTATTTTTAAGGAAGAAATGTAAAGAATTTAGTCTGTTTATTTTAAACTAGCCTTGCAACACTAAGGCTTTAATTTCCCTGCTGTGATGAATGAATAGTTTCCTAATTGTTCACATGAAGTATATATATATATATATATATAAGAACTATGATTTTATTTCGAAAAGTTTCTATTTCGATAATGCATTCAATTCCTAAATTTATTTTTAATAGGCTGAATGTTATTTTCTAAAACTTTGCATTTGTTTTCCATGAAATTATCAAAACAATAACATGTATTTCTCCAATTTACCAAATCTTGTTAATGTTTTCAATATAGCATTTAAAATGAATTCTCCATAAGCATTAAAACATCTTGGAAACGACATATCTCCGAATTTTATGAAATTTACACCACAGATGAGTCTTAGTAAGATACTAGCAAATATCATGATATCGGGATTTTCACACATGCATTCAGTTGTATTGAAGACGGATCCATTGAATGCGGCCGTTTTTGGCCAATTTTGACCAAATGAAAACATGAAAATTAAGAAAATGAACAATCGCCACTCTTAAGAGCAAAATTACATGGTTTTGGAAAATGTGAAAATTTTTTAGAGAATTTGCGCTTATATGCTGAAATTACGTTAAGCATCGATATTACGTGCAGGTATCGCTTTGGGTTACAAGTGTGGGATATTTTAATAACTCTTTTTACACAAAACAGATTTTTTGCGATATGTTTGGATATCAAGTTAATCCTGTATCCATTAAACATGCCTGGACAGCAATATACTGTGAGATCACTTATTTTCTTACATGGGGTTAAATTTTCGTTGTATTCATGATATGAAAAGACCCACAAATTGACATCTCTCACGAAATGTAAAAATCTTATACCACTGTATGATAATTCCCCTTTAACCACGATATCAAATCCCCTTGTACCAGTATTTTTCCTCAAACCACGTAAATTTGACCTCACGAAAATAAGTGACTTTACAGACTCTAAAACTCTAATTATCCAGCAGATATAATCTTGACATTCTCAGCGCTCAACAGTACAAGTTTTTTTTCCATCCCCTGGACATACAGCCTGGTGGAACTCCTCCATCTCAATGCCATAACATTAGTAACCAAATGGCCATCAGGTGTAGTAGATATGTTAAAAATCACGGAAATACAGTGTAAATCAACCATTAAATCCAATTTACCATGATCAAATTAAAATCTGTATTTCTCACTCAAACAAAATTACTTAAAAAATAAAACCTTAGATTTAAAGACTTAAATTAATATCAGAAAATATGGATATATCTGCAATATAGCTATTCAATAGAATAAATTAACTATAAATTAAACCATGCACCTTCAACATACACGTACCTACTTATTCAGATTCAGCAGAATAAACAAAGTGTAAATAAAATCGTGCACCTGCAACATACCTAGGATTGCAAAGCATGTTTTCTGGGCTTGCTCATACTTTCATCTTCCAAACATGATTGAATGAGGTGTTCAACCTCTTTGATTGTTGGTCATTACGCCATAATTACAAAGAGTATATTGCCCCTCCCCCAAGTTATCCCATTTTTGCATAAAAAGATATAGATATATATTATAAAAATATAATTTTGGTCCTATTCCACTTCTCATCAAAATCTGATTGTTATCTTTGAGGAATGGTACGTTTCTTTTCAATATCTAAATTTTAGTTAAATTAAAAGATGAGTTGTTCTGAGTCACGACCTTAAACTGAGTAAATTAATGACGCCAAATCAACAGATAAAATCATTCACTGTACATTGTAAAAAAAAGTGCGAGTGTTGTGAAATTTCTAAGAGATCCCGCAATTCAAAGTGCATACAAGTATGTAACATCTTACAGCATCAGAACAGCATCAGAATCATCGGAGTTAACAGCAATAAGCTTATATATATATATATATATATATATATATATATATATATATATATATATATATATATATATATATATATATATATATATATATATATATATATATATATATATATATATATATATATATATATATATATATATATATTTACATTTGCAAATGTTTTCTTTTATATAACACTATTAAAAGCAACGCGTATCTATATCCGTATAAACACGGGTTCCTCGCGTCATAAACGTTCGACGTAATTTCTCAGTGACGTCATAAAGGGTCGACGCGCAAACAATGGATCAAATACGTGCCGTTGAGTTTGAAAAATAAAACATTTCACGCGTTAAGGATTATAATCAGGAAAATATAAAATATGAATAAGTCATAAATGTAAATATAAGTAATAATGTATCATTTTTAAACATCTATCGGATATAAATACGGGTTGGTACGAGATCAAATTTACCATAAAGCCCTTCGGGCTTTATGGAATTTGATCTCGTGACCAACCCGTATTTATATCCCGATAGATGTTTAAAAATGATACATTATTTCTTAAATATATATATATAATTTTCGAAGCGGCTATAGTAACGTGGATGGCTGAATAACATTGGTGTGGATTTTTTCAGAAATACCTCGACCTACTTCTATGAAATTGACAGCAGAGAGGTGCGCATTAAATGCATATTACCGTATTGACTGTAGTGTATTATAAATGCAAAAATGAAAAGAAATATCAAATACACTAAGAAATGTTCTCTAAATATTTTACTTGTTGCTTAGGTATATTGCTGGAAAAGGAGGCGTTATTAACGCCATTGTTTAAAATTTTTTCATTGTTGAGAGCATGCTGGCATTTCTCACACAATGTTTGTCAAGTAAATAGAAAACGATCAAATCAAAATAAACTTTGATATTTTTTTTTCCCGTTTTTACAAGGAAGCAATATTAAGCTGTTTGACTGTTTGATTTATACCAACCTAGTAAGGTTAAAGTTATTTATTTTCCCGTAGTAATAAATACATACATATAGTAGTCCTAATTGTTCCCACAAAATACAGTACTTTTCAGACGAAAATATTTCTTAATCTTACTACAATAATTATGTACAGTGTATATGTTTCTAAATCTATTTTTAATATGCCCTTCAGGCTCAGTGAATATTGTTCTCCTTAGATAGCTAAATCGTCGTATTGACAAAAAATACAACAATAATTGTGTAATATTCTGGATATCAAAAGCATTTCATCAAAATATTAAAATTTCTATACTCTTACATCAATTATATAGGTCATTTCTCTAATTGCATACTCGTGCACGTGAATGCATGCGCTGACTATGTCTTCTTGTCAAGACTACTAATTTATTTTTATATTCTGAGTTTCAAAATATTTTATAGAAGATATAAAAGTTATGCCTGAGTCATGCAAATTACTGGAATGAAAATTTTTTCCAGAAAAATTAATGTTGAGGTCTTCGAAATCAAATTTGATATGTTTAATGCTTAATTTAAAAAAATTAAACGCTTAGTTTGATGTAAATATCATACCATGGAAATGAAAAGGTTCTTAGATAACCAATGAAAGATTTTAGTCACCAAAAGGAAAGTAAAAACGTGCAGGAAGAGCACGGAAAAAGTAGTAATTGATAACTAAAATGTGTCCACTGAATGGTCATTGAAATGCTGGAGAATTGTGACTAAAATAATTGAAAGGTCTCTGCAATTCAGTAACTGATTGGCCACTGAGTGGTCACTGAAAAGTCGTATAATGCCATCATAACAGAAGGGTCTGATTATTGTTCCGTTTTTACCCTTAAAAGGGAAATAAGTTACAAAAAGGGTGTAATCCAAACAATATTCAAGTTTATCTAGTGAAAGATTTATTTTTCAAATGTCCTGTTGAGGCTTACAATGTTTCCCTATGAATATTTCGACTCGCCCAACAATTTAAAACTATCCATCAAAACAGATTGATTTTACTTATTGAAAAAAATTAAAGAAAATAGATGGTGTCGAGAAAAATTCTAAATGTTTAGTAAGTGTGTTGTTGGGAAGAGTAGTCTTAGAACTTTCAAATTTCAATGACAATCTGCCATGTTGTAGGTAAGAATTATTTTTTTTAATTGTTCATGTATATACTGCTATATATTGAATACAAAGGTCAGTAATACTTCAGCTGATTGACTTCCTTTTTTATCTGGAATGATCATTGGCAATAACACTCACATGGGTCATCTTTATTTTAAAGTGTGCATCACTTAGGTCATAAAATATTTTTTTTTCATTTACAATCACAGCATATTGTGATGACACAAGACATACAAATTATAATATAATAATTGTTCATAAGAAAAGAACAAAGTTCAATTAGGGCCTTGTTTGGCACTGTGAAATTCTGAAAAATTAAAACTGCGCAATTTTAGTTGAAAAAAAAACAAAACAAAAAAAAACCTTAAATTTCTCTTGGACCTTTGAGACTGCATATCCGTAAAAAAAATTACGTAAATTTCTCGCTTGTCCATGTCCTTAGACGTCATGAATTACCACATTATCCTCGAATCCTGAAAAATTCTTCAAATGAAATATATGGAGATTACGAACAGTATTCAAGCTCAAAAGTCCATTAAACAATACAAATCAGGAGCAGAGCAAATACGGATCTCTAAAACATCAGAGATGGGATCGGGTGCCATGGAGGTGTGAACATTCCCTTCCAACCGGTCAAACCCACCGTGTGCTCTTTGTCATGATCGTGAAATCCCGGAAAAATCCGTCGACAATGTACGAAAAATTTCTAAATTGAGGCAAGCTATTGAAAAACAACTTCATGAAACAAGTATATCAACAATCTCGTTTAAAGTCATCATTTTTCAAGTTCTATGGTTGATACAATGACTTTCTCAGCAAAAACAATCTATCATTAAGTCGAATGTTGACTGATGTTTTTTATACTTATTGTTAGACCATTATTTAAACATTTAATATTTAAACATTTATTTACGGATTTTCCCGTTTGCCCGATAATGACAAGGAACACACAGCGGGTGTGTCCAGTCGACAGGGGATGCTGACTCCTCCATGGCACCTGATCCCACCTCTGAATTTTTAGGCGTTCATTTCGATCTGCTCCAAAATTTGTAGTTTCAATGGACTTTTGAGATTGATTACTGTTCGTTATCTTCATATTACATTCACACTCTTTTATTCCCACTCGTTCAATACTAAAGAGTATAAAGAAGTACAACTCCCTACCTTCTAATTTACATAAGGGAAAAACATACTCAAAAAATTGTTCTAGCAAATCTTTAAATATTGGGTAATTGTTATCTTCATTAGTACCTCGATTTTTGTTTTGCCAAGAGAGAGAGAGAGAGTGTGTGTGTGGGTGGGTGGGTGGGAGGGTGGGTGAGGGTGTGTGTGTGTGTGTAAGAAACCAGAAAACCTTATAAAAAAACATTTATGCTTACAACATGTTTATTTTTTCTATGTCTCTTAGTGGCTTGATAAAAAAACCAAAGAGAATTTCACTCCAGAGAAGGAACAGATGCTATAATGTGATAGTCGTCATGGCTCGTCTTACGATCGTCAACAGTCTTTTTGTAATTCATCAATTTTTGAGTAAGTTTTACTCCTTTTTTTGTCATATTCAATACGTATTTAATACGAATTGTAGTTTAGAAAATCTTATTATGGCAAAAGTTGATTCTTTTCTTTAATTAAAATGAAGTATTAAACAACAACAATATATTTCATTTAAGTGTTATAATTTTATGACTTATATGTTCGACAAAAACTGTAGAACATTTTTTTTCTGTGGGATTTATTGACGCTATGTACACAGTTACATTTTCTCCGCCGAAATTTGTCACAGTATACTTGAAATATATTAATGACATGTAGGAGCATAATGACATTACAAAAATAAAACTTCACGTCAATTTCTACTCCTGGGCTGAACAGAAGTTGTGATTCTATGGAATTATGATCCTGTGGAAAAAAGGACATTTAAAGTTATCAAGATCCTTCTTTACATTTAGGTTTAGAGATTACAGAGCAAACAAGTATTAAGCGGTGTACATTCAAGCCTTACATGGATGAATGTGGAAATCGTGGATGGTTATGGGATTGCAGTGAGCTTAACCTGAAAATACTTCCTCGGAACATTCCAGAAAGGTTTAAAGGTAACACCTTGGCTTTGGATCTTTCAAGGAACAATTTTACAATGATATCATCTGAAACATTTTCTGGCGTCAATATGAAATTGTTGCCACACATAACAGCTCTCTATCTACAGGACAACAAATTAAAAATCATCAAAAAATATGCTTTTGGATTAATGGAGAACTTGTGTGTTCTTGATCTATCTAACTGCAGATTGAAAAATTCTTCTCTAGAAAATCAATCATTTGCTAATTTAACTAAGCTGAAAATTTTGCGTATGCATCACAATGCATTTATACATCTAGGATATCCAGATATTGAGATCTCCAGAGTACTGACATTGCAAAATTTGACAATTGGTGTTTTCGAAGGGTTTCATTTTAGTGACCAATTTCAAAAGCTTAGACAACTGGAAAGTGTGAACTTGGTTACAGAAAATTCAAAATTTCATCTAACAAAGACCACTTTTTCAGGTTTGTCAAATTCTCCTATATATTACCTGGAGTTAAAATTCAAGCACCTCGTGCACTGTGATGTAAGCGAAGAGATCTTTTGCTCATTTCCTTTTTTGAAGGGTGTGTATATTGACTTCGGTGGACTGTGTGATTTGAACGTTGCTTTACTTTCCCTAAGATGTCTTCAGAACAGGACAATGGAATACATCAATGCATATGGAAATATACCAAAACTTATAGAAAAAGCAGTTTTTCTTAACAAGGAAAATTGTAAATATTTGTTCAATACATGCACCAAGAAAGTCATTCTTAGTGAAAACCGGGTAGCTGGAGTTTCAGACAACCCCCTTAGCACACGAATGGCTCAATGCATGGAGTACTTTGACATATCTGAAAACAGAATTGAATTTATTAAGCCTGTTATTATGGTTGATCTTCTTACACGATATCCGAGACTACGGGTACTAAATACCACATTAAATGATAATCATGTTAAAGCTGATCAAATTTTTAACCACAGTGATTCGAATCATCGTGATTTAAAGAAGAGGCCAACTGTTACTTTTCATTTTTCAAAGCATTTAGAGGTATTTCAATTTTCTATGAATTATATCCATATTTTTGATCCGTCATTTCCTGTTAACCTAGCCATTTCTGGTGAATCTTTAAAAGAATTGTATGTCGTACACACAAACTTCCCATGCAAGTATGTTACTCAATTAAAGATGCCTTCTTTAGAAATCCTTGACATATCTGAAAATGACTGCAGTCAAATGAACTATCGAATTTTACAATTCGCCACAAAACTGGAAACATTTTCGGCAAGAAATACCAAACTTAATTTTACTATAAAAGTGAAAAAAATTTTCATGGGGCTTAAAAAACTAAAATTTGCGGATTTAAGTCAGAATTCTCTAACTTATTTGCCTCACACTATGTTTGAAGATCAAATGCTTTCTCTTTCTACATTGAATCTCGATAATAACGAATTATCAACATTTCCTGTATCACATTTACAAAAGCTTCAAAATCTTTACATGCGTTTCAATAAAATATCATTTTTTGCAAAATCTGACATCGCTAAATTATCAGCATTACATAAGGATATAAAATGTTTTCTCGAAGGAAACCCAATAAGCTGTGAATGTGTGCATATATTTTCTCTCAAATGGATGAGAAAGAATCAACACAAGTTTTCAGATTTGAATAAAATTCTGTGCATTAGCCAAAGAGTATCATTAGCAGAATTTTTTCAAGAAAAACAATTCATCGAATTTGAAAAGAAATGTCAAGCAAATTTATGGCTGACATGTTCTCTTATTTTCTTGGTATCTTTACTAACCACAATTTTTATAGCAGCATGTGTACAAAAATATCGCGTCCATGTTGATTATGTCATTCTGCGCCTGCGTAGTCGATGGAAAGGTGTCATGCATGTGGTAGATACAAAACAATTCCAATTTGATGCATTTGTGTCATATGCAGAAGAGGACTATCAACTAGTCTGTACAACTCTGTATCTCGAGTTGATTCGTTTAGGCTTCCAGGTAAGCTTACCGGATAAGGATTTTCTTCCCGGTATATCAAAGGCTGAACAACTCCTGCAGTGTATTGATGACAGCCGGAAAGTAATTATTGTCGCATCTGAAAACTTCCTGGTGAGTGGATGGGAATCCTACGCCGTTCAGATGGTAGTGACTCATGCCTTTCACAATCACAGACAAAAATCCATAATAGTGATCATTAAAGATGATATTCCTGTAGAGAGGATGCCAAAGGATTTAAGATACATATGGTGGTCTATCATAAGCATTCGGTGGCCAGAAAATGGTGAAAACATGAATTCATTTTGGGAAGAATTATCTACCGCTTTACACTCAGAAGGGAAGAAAAGATAATGAATTCTTATATACACTTCTTGTTCAATCTCGCTCATTTTAAGATTTATTGCATATTTATATAACGTAAAATGCACTGTATACAAGATGTGTAAGGCGTCATGATAATTCGACATCCTCGCTTAGAATGAAGGGTTCATCGACTGGTGAGGATCAAACAGCTCTACTAATATCCTGTCATGTGAGACAGGCAAGTCCATTAAGCTTCTGTGATCATTTTTTCTTCTTTTAAGGTGTTGATAATAATGTAAAAGACCAAACCAAATATAACCGTACTAGCAACCCAGAAACTTTTTATCAAATTCAAGATCTCATCTCATTGGTCCAAACTTTATCATTATACATTCATTCATACTTTTGAGAAAATTTTCTCTTTTATACTGAATTGTATTTTTGTCTTATATGCATGTATGAGCATCATTTTCCTCGATCAACATCAGAGTCGACATCATTATCCGTAAATATGGTCTGCAATTGTAAATGTATGTACTGATTTAACTTGGTAATTTGTAAATACAGTTAAATATGTTTGTTGCTTAAAAGGGTTAATTATTGATGTATATGTAATTTTATGGAATCAGCTGTCTGAGTCCGTCAGAACATGTAGTTCTCTTGCATTTTATTTATAAGCATATCTACAGCATTATATATCAATGTTTTTGAATTATCACGACGAACTGGTCATATTTTTTTGCATATTCGATCATCGAATCGACGCTCAATCATCAGGGATTTATTAATGCGTTATATTCACGTCTTTTTTGAAAATGAGAATGGTGACTTCAGTCTGTTACATGTAGTACTTGAAATAATTGAAATGGTAGCAGTAATACAGTTAACAAAATGCCGACGGCAATAGTTATCTTTCTTTTGTCATCCGTTGCGAAAATATTACAGTCTTATACCCTTATTCCTCCAAATAACTTCGTTCCTTAAATCTTACTTTGACACGTCAGATCTTATTAAACCCACATGGTGTAAGTATTGAGTCTCAGAATATACCTTTCATTAGCTTATTTTAGCTTCTGATATATCTAGGTACATATCATGCTGTTCTACATAAAATAATTCAGAAACATTTGAGGATAAATTATCATTACATATAATATTGACTAATATCGAACGTGTAGATTCTGTGGTGTGTGGGATTTTGAATTACTGTGAGCTTTGTTCTAAAATTATTTGTACTCTCACTTATGTGCATCTTTACTCTGTTTCACAAATTAACTTAAGTTTTGTGATAAATGTGAACATTTTTCTTTGGCTACAACTTCTCCAGCATCCTGATTCGTAAAACGTTCTGAAATAACTTCCATATATTGATTTTAATATTATTTAATTTTGTTCATTCATTTATGTATACTTGTTGAAAGCATAAGAAAGCTCTTAACACTAATGTTTTTTTTTTGGATTTTGAGGTAATTATATCATATAAAGGTTTACAATATGTACATACTGAGTCTATCTAGTTTACTGTCAACAAAGAGTATCTGCCAGATCAAATGTATATAGACAAATGGAAACCACTGTTGTTTACTTACATTCGGAAAACGCATGCAAGTAATTCTTTTACTTACTGTTCCTTGGAGTAGAATAATAATAGTTTAATCTATTTCAGATGGTGTTATTAACTGTAGATTTCCTTTTATTCCATTTTACAGCAAAGGACAGCTCACTAGTAAAAACTGCATAAAACTCCCGTAGAATAACAATTTTTTTTCAATGAGCAGTACACGGTAGCTCAGTCGGTAAAGCGCTCGCTCTGTGATCGGAAGGTCGTGAGTTCGACTCTCGGCCACGACAGACCTAAGTCGATAAAAAATAGGTAGCAACTGTTCCTTCGCCATGCGCTCGGCACTTTGAAGTGAAAGTTGTGGGTCCTTTGGATGAGACCTTAAGAACCGAGGCCCCATGTCACGACAGGCGTTGGCACGATAAAGATCCTTCACTGCTCAATGACCCTGAGTGCCGAGTAAAGGTCAATATTTGAAGCCCTTCACCGGTATATGGTGACGTCTCTATATGAGTGAAAAATTCTCGAATGGGACGTAAAACAACATACAATCGGTCAATGAGCAGTATTTAAAGCTTCCTTAAAAGGGTTGAAACATTGGCATCCATGTAATTCAATGTGTCACATTTTAAGGAAGCTCTTAACATTGTTCGCTGAATGAAGAGTTCGAATAATTGAAATGGTAGCAGTGAGAGATACAGTTAACGAAATGCTGAGGGCGGTAGGTATCTTTCTTCATATGAGAATGCATAGTAAGATACTTGCATTCTCAAGGTAGTTCATCAATGAAAGGGAGAAAATCAGACATGGGAGAGGGTTTGAAACATAAATCTAGTTACTGCACTTGCAATATTTGATGTATTTATAGAGCTAATCAGGTCAAGGATTCCATCAACATAAAGCACAAAAGTAACTATTCCTTTGAAATGAAATGATTGAGAAGTGTAATCTTGTGGCCAACGACGACGTACTGACGGAGAATATACAGAATAGACAAGTACCTTACGAACGAACTAACTAATGTACGAGTTAGACGTACTCGAAATACCAATGGACGAATAACTTTACATTGATAGGAAGGGTGCGTTCCGTTTAGAAGTTAATTAAATTCTTGCGCATATGGAGAATACGTCAGTTTATTCATCATGTATCTATAAATGTTTGCATCTCATTGATAAAAAAAAAACTTAAATACTGATCATGCTTTGAAAGATTTACTTGAAGCTGTTAGTATATAGAAAGTAGTCCTTTACATCATGTGTGGTCCGCCCATGATGATTGGTTGTTGAATGCATTTGATATATTGTTCAAAGACAATGATTGTATGCATAATGGAGTTCGGCTGGTCAGGTTAAACCCCGTCGTATAATAACTTGGGTCCTTTTTGACATAGAAAATGACCCATCGTCATTATTTTACATTCAGAAATGTCCGCAGAAGCCCTCCCTTAAAATCTGCATACCCTACAAGAAGAAAAATAATATCCGTAGAATAATAACACCCCCCCCCCTTTCAGATTCTTTTAAAGAAGGACTTTTATTTGAGTAAGACTAAAATAAGAATACTCTGAAAGGTTTCAATTGAACATGTTTGGGGTCACACAAATGATGTTGTAAAGAAAGTAAAGCTTGTGGAAAACTTCTTTTCATATGGTAACTTCTCCATAGCTACCAAGTGATTTGGTTTCGTTTTACGCAATAACAGAACGTAGCATTATCATTTTACTTGTATTTTTACGGCGTATAACAGAAATCCTTCCTGACAACTACAATCTTGTCAAGGATTTAGGAGAGAGTGAACTAACTGACTTTCAATTGTATATGCAAGGCTCAATGTCCCCTAACACGCTTCGGAATGAATTATTTGGAAATTCAAATACCGATTCCCCACGCCCACCTCCATGCACCTCCGAGAATATGCCTCTGACTAGTAATGCTTTTCATATTCATATAAAGTGAGCACAATACCTGACACTGATATGGAAACAAGCAAATGTTGGTAAACCCATATTACCATGACCAACTGAGATGGGATGGAAGTTGAAAAATTGTTGTTTGCTGTATACACCCCTGTACTTATGCCTAAACTTTTCAAAAGAGCTGTCTAGATATGATAACTTGATACTGCACCACCAGTTGTGGAATTATAGTAAGATTTGGATGAAAACAGCAATTTATATAGAATGCAATTTCCTGAACAATGAGGAAAAATGATAAACAGAAAAACAAAGAATTTTTTCTTATTTTTGCGGAAACAGCTTAATTTCAAAATTTAAATTCTTCCACCATCATTCTTCTCTCCCGATAAAAGGACATTGAGAGAATTTGATAAATTGGAGATCCGTCATTTTTAATTGCCATTATGACCTTTTTAACGCCATCTTTCAGATGGCGAGTATATTTTATCAGACTCAGCATACTTAATTGGCTTTTTAAAACCATGTTATGCCAAATAATGACTTTTAGTCGTTGGATATTTTCTTTCTGTTAATCAGACCAGACTAATAATGTGTGGTCACATTCCTTCTAAAAGATATGTATTCTGACATTTTAGATCATTTAAACATTTAAGGTCCGGTCGTGTAGGGAAGAAATATAGATATTTATGAAATACAGTTATTTGTTTTAAAAATTCAAGTAAACAGAGTTTGAAAACTTACATACATTCATGTAAAGATTTCACAAAACAATAAAAAGTATGCGGTAGTATCGAATATCAACTGACTGGTTATCTGATCGCTCTATAATCTATTTTATAAACAGGAAATTCTTTTGTTCTTGAATTCTAAATTTTCGATAAGGAAATTTATTTTTACCTTTTGGAATTACATGAAATATAAATCGTTTATTTTATCGAAAGATATATTCTTTAGTTCTTGATACATTTTTTTTTTTTTAATTTTTTTTTTTTTTTTTTTTTTTTTTTTTTTTTTTTTTTTTTGAACTTTTGAAGTATATGATTACTAGATGCGCGAATGAAGCTTGTGGAAACCGGTACAATATATAAACCTGTTCAAGCTCAATCTATTTTAGCTGCTACAAACAACAAACATAACAAAAAGTAGTTTCCCTTTATCCTGCGAATATCATGAAGATTTTTTTATTATTATTATCATATAATTCGGAATCTGTAAGTTCTTGGTTGTTCTTTTTTTTTCTTCCTCAAACTGTTTAAGGAACCAATTCAGAATTTATAAATTGCCTTAGAATTTTTTAATATCAGCTGCTATCAAGTTGAGCATAAATTCCATTTAGCCTATTCATCGTTTAAAAATTTAAACAGATATGGGAGCCTACAATTTTTTTTTCACACGGTGTTCTAAATAAAAGAGGAAATGATCAAATTTTATTAAGGTTAAAAAAAATCTCAAATTTTTAAGGAACTAATATGAATTTTTAGCCTGATTATTTTATAGCTACCTAGAAACAATAGGTATGTTTCCTTGTTGTGAAAAATATTCAGTATTTTTACATGTATTTGTTCTCATATATAATTCAATGATTAATTAAGAATTAATATTTTTTAATATTTAAATTTCTAAACCAATTGCGCCTTTTCCATATATAATTCTCAATACACTAAAGGCAATTTCCTGAGAGTTTAATTTATACGTT